CGTTAGGAAAAATTTCTTTACTGAAAGTGTGGTTAAACATTGGAACAGGCTGCCCAGGGAAGTGGTTGAGTCACCATCCCTGGAGGTATTTAAAAGACATGTAGATGTGGCACTTAGGGACATGGTTTAGTGGGCATGGTGGTGTTGGGCTGACGGTTGGACTCGGTGATCTTAGAGGTCTTTTCCAACCTTAATGATTCTATGATTCTATGAAAACAGAGGTCCAGTATAAATCTTCACTCGTGGGTTTGCTGACATCACTTTACCAGCCAACCTCTGAAATTCAAGGTGAATGCTGAAAACACAGGGTCAATCTATACCTATAACAGAAAGCATGTATAATGGGGGTTAAATCCCAGCAGCATTTAAAGCTAGGCAAAATCAAAACGTGCTTGGGACATTGTGGCAATGTCACGTGTGACCCAGTGAAGCAGTAACCAGTCATTGCCTCAACAGCCCCATGTGGCCCCTGCTTTCCTAGTGCAGGTCGGGGTTTCCCAAGGTAACCTACTCCATCCAACCGAGCTGGGGGCTCTGTGCAGTCCCTTCTCTTGCAACCCGCCTCCCAGCCTTCCTCCCCAAGAGCTACCTCATCCTCTTGCACACTCCCGCACATGCGTGACCCCGTTCTACCCTCTGCCACTACGGGGGACACAAAGCATTCAGGATATCCATTTGCTATTGAATGCTACTCAGAACAACCGGCATGAGCTGGGAACATTGCAATGCCAGAAGGCATTAACGAATGTTAAAAAATGGTTGTTTGAGCAATTGCAAATCACTGAAGTCTGTGGCTGCGTTAGCAGAAACACATTTCCCCAACTCTCCTTTCAATTTTCTGATTTCTCCCAAAATCAATTTGCTTTAGCCACTGATGGGCAAAATATCCCCACAGACATTGGCTATTAATCATGGCATTTAAAGGAGTGGCACCTTGCTAGTAACAAGACCACGGGTCCAGGTTTAAGTGATTTACATTGATCCAGCCAGCTTTTCCAATAAGCCTGAGCAGATGGGCGCTCTGCAAACAGCTGTGCCAGGGGAAAAGGTTAGTGGCTGCCAACTGGCTTCTTGTCACCGGGCTCTATTACAAGTGTCCCATTCCCTGCCCGGTGCCAGGGCAAGCACCCCAGAGCATCTTCAACCAAAGCAAACAGGCGGACCTTTGAGGAGCAGTACGCTGTTGCTAACCTGGCTGGGCTGGCAGATTAGCGAAGGGACAGTATCTGGCCAGGGAGCTAGTGACAAGCAGCAAACACCCCGGGCTGAGGGTAGTAACACCCTTTCCCTAGCACAAAGGGAAAGAGAAAGAGGGTATGTGTCCACAACCCCAATGGATCCAGGTATCCTTGGGTGCTGAAAAATTTTAGCATGAGCAATTTTAAAGATGATGAGAAAACAACATCAGTTTAGATGTACCCTAAGTGAACAGCTTCCAAAAAAAAAAAAAAAAAAAAAAAGCTGTTTTTATCAGCAATTTCACAGCTCAACTTTAAAAAAGCTGAAAAAGTTCATAGTCCAAACCCAGCCCTCCTTGGCTTCAATGTTGTTTAGACTGTGTAAGGAATGTAGAAAAGAACCAGTAAATATTTTCTTAAAGGAAAAGAAAAAGTCCCAGACCTCACACTGACGTTCTTGCAGCCCTCTTGGGAGAGAGGGAGCAGCCGGCCTCTTTTTCATGATATTTCCATCATAAACTTGATTTTTGTGTCCTCTCTGCCTCTTATCCAAACACATAAGAACCAGCCACGACTTGAACCCCTTTAACTACAGCCAGGGAGCAATACTCAAGGAATCACACCATCTCATACATTTTTTTCCATCACAAGAACATAGTCCCTTGAAGGCTGAAGTGGTCACACAGACAAATAACAACCCTTAATTATATTTTCTTGGTTTCTGTATGAAAATGTTACTACGTGTTTTGTCTATAAAATACAGAAAAAACCACAAATCTCTTAAAATATTCCACTGTATTCAGAAATTTATGTTCACAGGGGTCATCACACACAGAGAAGAAACCAATAGCTGTATTTCTACACACAGTGTGCCTCCTAACCCCATGACAACTTACAGAGACCCCTTGAATTGGCCCAGGCGCTACCCTCGTGGGCTCTTGTGCCCGCAATACAAGTTCTGTCATAAAATATAAGAATTCAAAGATAATTTCCCACTTACTGTCAACTGGCCTTTTATTTTTTAATAAAAAGGCTTGACGTTGCAAATTCAACTGTAGGAAAAGTGAGCAGAAGGTTAGGGTGGGATGGGAAAGTATTTCCCAGGCGAGTGTTGATTCTGGGACAGTTCCCTAAAATTGTAACATGTACATACAAAAAAGTTGTGAACTTTGGAGCTGGGCCAAACCCTTCCTTCTCCGCCAGCATAAACCCGGCTTTTGTCCTTGATACAAATACCCCAGCATGTCTCACAAAGCAGCAACATCGGGGAAAGGCAAAGGTGGCTTACCCTGGTCTATATGTATCTATTTAATGTTGTGTTTGGGTTCAGACTTAAGACCTGTGACAGAAAAAAAAAATGCAAACAAACATAGAGTGACTAATTCCCTTTTCTACCTGCAGCATTTCTCCTCCTTTGGAGGAGAGGTCACCATGAATGAAAGAAGAAGATGTTAAATGAGCATTAGCTTGCTAAGGTGCAGTTCAAATGTGTCCATTTGCAAATTAGCCTAGGGAATTCAGGATGTTGAT